TGAACATCCTTAGATACTTTAATTACAGTAAGGAATATATGAGCTGTCCTTCATTCCGGGACCAACGCCGACGTTTAGAAGGTGGTAAAGATATATCCATGACACAAGAATGGCCTGCCCAATGCACTTTGTTTTATTGTGACTAAGATTCTTAGATAAAATCCACAATGCTTTTGCAAAGCCGTTGAGGTGGAAGCAATCTCAGTTGTCTAGGTTGTTTTAAGGAGGACTCCAAACATTCTGAGGTTCATTTCAGAACCTTGGTGTGACTTTCTGAGCTCCCTCCTTCCCTATAACCTCTCAGCCCAGCCCTTGGAATGTGGAATTTCCTTCCATGGGCCCGCATTCCCTTCAGTTGGGTTAAAGATGGAATGTCTTTCCTAATTGTCCTCAACTTGTTCTTCAAGCCACATGGTCATTTGAAAAAATATAAGGCCTGCTCAGATCACTTGATGACCAAGACTAGATGAACAGACTGAATGTAGAATTTCAGAAGCAGTATGCTTCCAAGGCTGCAGGATCTTCAAAATGGAATTGTATGTGAGTCTTAGTTATTGGCTGTAACTTCAAGGCAAGCCACTTGGATCTTATGAGCTTCTATTAATATTTCCATACCATGAGACTGGCTCATAGTAACACTTGGACAAGAATGTTGTCTGATAGGATGGCATCCGTGTCCCATGACTGGCATGCAGTGGCTATCCAATAAATGTGTTTCAATTATTCTCTTCTTCATGCAAAATGAGATTGTGTCCCACAAACATCCTTCGTGTACCTGGAGCAGGTTCTTTCTCTGTGGACTTGCTTAAGCCATGTGGGTTTTAGTTTATCACTGTGCCATTAAAATGCCATCATATATTAAGAGAATTCCTTCTGAATGTAAGAATCTTTAAAAAACCTTTCCAGAATCAAGTGTGAAAACACCACTCCCCTCTGTTTGCAAAGGCATCATTCCCATCCTCTCTGGACTGTCACGTTCTATAACTGGACATGTGTACCCAGCTGGCAGCTGTACCAGCCAGACCTGAGGTCACTGGAGTTTAGACCCAATTTGTTTCCACTCAGAGTCTTTAAATTCTATTTCCAGCACACACACACATACAGAATGCAGATGTGGCGATGAAAAGCAGGCCTGCTGGGGTGGCAAGGCTAGGGTATTGAACTGCTGCCAGGCAGTTCGGTAGAGGCCTCACCTGGGGACTGTTGCAGGCCCAGCCTTCAGGAATGGTTGGAGCCTTTTCCTATGACATGAGCTAATCCATGGGACAATCACCATAATTCTCATTTGGAGCAAAACGCCCCACAGTCTGTGATCAGACAGGCCTGAAAGATTTCCTCTGCACTCTAAGGGATTTGTAACCTCATAGGCACACAGGAGAACTCCCTCCCTGAGGATCTGACGTGGGATGGTCAGAAAGGTATAACAGAACTGCTTGGGACAAGGAAACATTTAATTTATAAACGAGATCCTACGAGGCTAAGTACATCACCTAGAAAAAAAAATTTACAGCTCAAATAGTCCCTTACCCAGAGTCCCTTTTAGATGACTAAATATGTATTAATTGATTTGGTTTATGTTTATTTAAGAAGCTGCACTAGAGATGGGCTCAGCTGTGGAATGTTTAGTGCCCCTGAAGCAGAGATAGGGAATCGCCAGAGCAAGATGGCTACCGAGGCTAGTCATATCAGTGAGCTCTGGGTTTGATTCTGAAGCCCTGCCTCAGTGAATTAGGTAGAGGAGTGGTCAAGGATGACTCCCCACACACATACACACACACAAACAAATCTATCCATACCCACACGTGCACACACCACACACATATACACACAGAAAGGTAGGAAAAGAAGAGGACCTATGATAACATTAAGTACTTTGAAGATATGAAGAGCAATGACCAAAAAAAAAAAGTCCTTTCAACATTCCCTCCTCCTGGGGCTGGCGTGAGGGTTTAGTGGCTAAGAGAGCTTGCCGCTTTTCCAGAGGATCTAGGTTCGGTTCCCATCACCCATGTGGCTGCTCACAGCCCCTGGTACCTCCTGTTCCAGGTAATCTGTGCCTTCCTTTGACCTCCATGGGCTTCTGCATATACATTATGTACATAAACCCACCCAGGCACACATATCTATACCTAAAAATATAAAATAAATAAATATTTTAGAAAATATTCTCTTGAAACTTATTCTAGCTAAAAGATCAAAGTAAATACCTTTCCAGAGCCAAGTGTGAAAACACCACTCCCCTCCGTTTGCAAAGGCATTATCATCCCCATCCTCTCGGGACTGTCATGTTCTGTAACTGGACATGGGTACCCGGCTGGCAGCTGCACCAGCCAGACCTGAGGTCAAGGATTAAGATAGAAGTTTGTAGCACTTGGTGAGAAAAGTTAAGAAATCAAAAGAGAGAAAGGATGGGATATAAAACAATAGGGAAACAGTGTTGGAATTCTAGGCGAAGTATCTAGAGAAACCCTCACTGATAAGATGGCTTTAATAGAGAGCTGGCTGATGATGGGGAGGGGGAGAAACCGACATGGGAAGTATATTCCACCGGAATTTCTTAAGTGCTGCTCTTGTCCTTTAGTCCCTGGTTGATACTGAGAAAGATGACGTCTTTCTGATGCCTGGTCCTTCCTCTGTGACTTTCCCCCACCTCCACGAGCCTTCAGGGCCTGTCATCTTCCACGTACCAGAGACAAGTCTGAGTACGTTGGGCATTTCACGTCCCTTTTCAGTCTGCAGTCTCATGAATCTTAGTTTGGGAGAGTGAAAAGACAACTTATAGTCTATCTTTTTGAAATTGTCTTTGTTTTTCCTGCCTTTTGTTTGTTTGTTTGTTTGTTTGTTTGTTTTTGTTTTTTTACCCAACCTTTTTTTTCTAGGAAGGTAGATGCCTGATAAAAATCTCAAATGCTCTCTTCTTTCATGTTAAAAGCTTTCAGAAAGTGTCTGAAATGCTTGGAATTCTGTTAGTATGACAGCAGGAGTTACAGTCATTCATTCCTGTTGACAGATGTTCATACCTGGTGACCGATGTGACTCTTTCACAGAATCTGAGGGTCTCTTCCTCTGGGTCACTCAGCTTTCTGAAGAAGTTCCTCTGGTTCCTACAGTAGGGTGCCATCCCCCTAGTCCTGTAAGCCTGATCAGCCGTAATCCAATCTTGGCGAAGCTCTTCAGACTTGTAAAATGGACACAGTGTAGAGTTCCTTGGTTGAGTGGCGAAGGAAGGGAAAGATAGACACATCTTTTCTGGTGGGAAAAATGAAGTTGAGTCGAGCCTCATCCTTTCAGCTCTGTAGGTCCATGTTCAAAAGTAGACTGGCACTCATGGGTTTCTTTGGTCCTACTCACTTTATAATGAATTCTTCCCTTGAAGATTTCGGTGTCAGCTTTCTCTCTTCTGCCCCTTATCTTCTCTCCTTCTTTTCATTCTTCGATGTGTGCTTTTTCTTACCTCCCTGCCATCCAGTGGACTTTCTGGAGGACGTGTTTGTTAGATGCTGTAGTTAACTGAAAGCCATCTGTTTCCTTTTCCATCTCTGCCCACTAATATTTCCCTGCTGGTGCTAGTCTACTCCCCAGCGACGTCTCACAAATCCGTAAACACCAGAATCCAGATGCAGCCTCGACGTCTTTGATTTAACTTTTCAATTATCCGTGTCCAAACAGCCGGTGAAGACAAGTGCGTTTGGTTTTGTTTTTTGTTTTTTGTTTTTTGTTTTTTCAGTTACTATGATAAAATACCCTGACAAAAAACAGCTAGGGGAGAAAGGGTTCATTTTGGCTCACTGTTCCGGAGGGGTAGAGTCCACCATGGCGGGAGAAAACATGGCAACAGGCAAGGAAAGTGTGGCAGCAAGAACATGAAGCCGAGTGATCACATTTCCTCTACACACAACAGAAAAGAGAAGAGTAAATGGGGTCCGTCTATAAACCCCCAAAGCCTGCCTCCAGGGATGTACTTCCTCCAGCAAGGCTCCATCTCCTAATGGCTTCATAACTTAACCAAACAGTGCCCCTGACTGGGGAACAAGTGTGCTAACATATGAACCCATGGGGACATTTGATATCCACTCCTGCAGTCCTTTACTGGCTAGGACTCTCCAGTTGCAGCAGTGCTTGATGGGGAATGCGTCCTTTCTCTGACATGGCTAGGGAGTTCACGACCAAGATGTTCATCCAGTGTTCCCTGCTGCACGGGGGTGCGTTGCTGGGGCTGTCGGATGGGGCTCCCGTTCTTCTACATTCCACCTCTCTCTGAGCATCGCTTGGAACCCTCAAGTTCAGGTTCAGTTAGGGGACACGGTCAAACCTTGCTCATCAAGAAGACAAATCCAGTGCGCCAGCAAATGTCAGGTCTTCCTTTTGCACCACATTGGCTAATATCTCATTGGCTAAAACAAGACATGTGCTACCCCCTTGGAACTCTGACATTCAGTGATGGTATCTGTGGTAACCAACTTGGCCCATTTTTATTTGGTATGTCAAGGTGCCAGCCTCCTGAGGGGAGTTTAATATGATATAAACATTCAATAGCTATAGTAAAACCACAGAAATATGCTTTTTCCACTTGAAGTGTTTCTGAATGAACCCCTAAGACAAGCTCTGGGCCTTATGCATTGCTATAATGATTATGTCTCCAGTTAATGAACCACATGCTAAAAATAACCCTGCAGGGTCAGAGTCCTAAATATACCTTCTGAGGCCATTCTGTATTGCTTTTTGCTATAGGCAACAAGGTTAGATCCTTGTCCTTTTGATTCTAAAACAATGGGGAAATGGCCTGGCTAACACCTGCCCAAAGAATAAAACCGGGTACTTACCTGATAACCAGATAATGCATTTTGTGGAAGCTCCAGATGAGTACCCCCCCATTCCTGGCTCTTCATGATTGTTCTGGACATTTATAACTGCAGTAGGGTAGAAGTGGCTCAGCTTCTGATTCACATCCCATGCTTCTTGATCTGCAAGCCGGTAACTGCAGATTCTTTTGCATGCAGGTGTTCTCTACCTCCAGTACGGAGATGAAACCAAACAGCTGCAGATGCCGAATGAAATCACAAGTGCAGACACGATCCGTGCTCTCTTTGTAAGTGCCTTTCCACAGCAGCTCACCATGAAAATGCTGGAGTCGCCTAGTGTTGCCATCTACATCAAAGACGAAAGCAGAAATGTCTATTATGAGTTAAATGATGTGAGGTAAGTCGTTTGGGGGCATTGTTTGAGGTAGTAGTTTTGGGGTGTTTGTTTTAATTTATTTTGAGGGTCTTTGGCCACCATTTGGATGTCTAGAGTGTGCTCAGTCTGAATTTTTCCTCGTCCTGATGGAGAAAGCCCCGTCATTACATTTGGCAAGACCTGCTGCACACAGATGGGAATCGACCCTCTAGTTGCCTAAAGTTAAATACAAAGATGTGGACAAACTTCTTCCACGCAGACCTTTGGATGTGTTACTAGCTCTGCCTGTATCATAGCTGAAAGGAATGTAAGAAATGACCCAGAATGACCCAGGACTGCATTTTATCTGAAGTCCAAGGACACTAAAGCCCAGAGATGTGATAAGAAATACCAAGAGCTAAAGGCTTACTTAAGGCTAAAATTTTCAAACTCCCTCACAAAGTGCCCTTTCTCCCATGACAGAACCTGTAGGTGTGTTCAATAATGAGCCTATTGGGTCTTTGCTTATGCCTCACAAGTTTGAAATAAAACCTAGACTCAGTGCCCACCAAAGATACGGAGAAGCAGTCTCACATTCCATTTCTAAGAGTCATCTTTTACCCAAGGCTGTCACTTGCTGAATGGACTTTCCCCCGGAAGCCCAGTTGGGCAGATTAACAGGAATACAAGCACCAAGGAGACAAAAGTCTTGTCATTGACTGCAACGGTGTTGTCGATAGAATGAAGGGACCCTTCGGATCTGTCCCAGCCAAACAACTGGAGAAACAGGATTTGGATCCATATAAACAAGCACTTGCTGGCCTAGCCCCTAAATGGTTTAGAAGCCAAATGCGTAATCTAGCTCTTTCATTGTATGGAACCAGGAACTCAGGTGTACCAAAATTAGGGTATTATTCAAGAGCATACAGCCAATTAAAACTCACATCCCCACACACCCACACACCCACACATCCTGGATGTTCAAATGCTCAGTCGAAATCATGTGGGGTGCAATTCAGGTTTTCTGGTCACTACCCTGGGAATAGCAGGCTCCCCTGTTTCTTCATCATGGAAATAACAAGTAGCACTTTGTAAAACTGTGCCTGCCGATCACGGTACAAGCTGGTTCGTATCTAACAGCGATCCCAGATGACGTATGGAGACAGGTGCCAAGGTGTCTGAGTAATTTCGGGCTTTCAGAATTTGACACATGCCCCAAGCTCTGGGTGCTACATCTGTTGTGCAACTTCCTGCCTTTGGAAAACAGGCTTAAATATTTATGATAACTGAAAAGGCATGCTTATTTTTTAGATAAATTATTAATCAAGCTGTCACCATTTTTTTTTTAAATTTACAAAACATAAACTTAAATCGGAGGTAATCTCATTATATTCCAAATATATGCCTGTCATATTATAAAGCCATGTGGTATTTTTTACATGGACAGACCTCTTCACGATCACCTTGTATTTCCACATTCACGGGTAGAGGCATTGGTGGACAATAATAGTGACTACGTGTGAAAGTAAGCAAGTCCACTTGATTGCAGCCCCTAAGGCTGTCAGGAGGCCATTGGGAGTGCCTGGACTGCGTCCACTTTCCACCTATAGAAACATTTGCATACTGCTATAAGTTATCATTTTCTAAAGTCTTTCCCGAGTCCTAGGGTATGGCTCCATGGCCTTGGTTTTGCATTCTGTGGGAATGTCAAGAGGGGACATGGGAAGACCGAGGAGGAAAAAGGTCATGGTCCTCCTCAATGGAAACAGCTGATAAAACAACTGGTAACTGGAGGGTACAGCTAAGAGAAGAGCTCCTGCCTGCCAGGAACGAGACCTGGGTCTTAGTCCATGCCCCACCCCTACCCCAGATCCACACACGCACTTCCATACAACCACACACACAACCGAATGATTCTCAAAACTACTAGTGCGTTGTTTGTTTTTTATTGCAATAATGATAACTTGTTGGCCTACTATTCCCTCTCCTTGAGTTGGTTTTTGTTTCTTTAATTTAAATGTGAAAAAGAGCCTAAATGTGTCCAGGGTAAAATAATTTTGTTTGGTGAATGTAATGTTTACCTTAAATGATCGTGTATATCCTCCCCATGGTACCATTTAATTTTTAGCTTTTGTACATAAGATGTTTTGATTATAGTTATGTTTAACGGTAGAAATTTTTACCACAAATGTTATGTAATATATTAAAAGAAGAATACAGGTAGATGTTAAGTAAAGACAATGGCTTTAATTTTCTGAAGTCGTAAAATTCCACTTTATGTCTTTCCGTGTTCCAGAAGCCAGAGCCTATTTGCTAACCATTTGACTAGTTCATTGTCGTGCTGGCTTCGTACATTTTCCTCAGGGAGGTACTGAAGAGAGTTCAGGTCAGGATGCTGTTTGGTAAATGTCACAATAATGCAGTCTGGCCTTTTACTGTTGGCTCATCTTGGATGAATATGTTTCTATATTAATCATAAACCAAGCTCATGTATTTTAAATACATTTACAATCGTAGTAAGCCTTTCTCATGGCGAGTGAGATTTCCGGGCACATGTCACACTCGATGTCTGCTAGCCAGAGGCTGGGTTCCTTTCATGAACCGCCACATCCTTACTCCCGACTCTCTCCTCCAGATTAGCCTAGCCCCTGTTGATAACAAAAGCACCTGCTCCCCCAAGCTCACTTCTAATGAGCTACCTGAAACAGGAAGTAGCCACGCAAGCTAAGACTGGTTGGTGCTTCAAAGCAATGACTGGTGGATGTTTAGAGAGAAACATGACTCCTCCAAGAATCCTGCCCTTCATTTAAAACACAAACATAACCTAAGGCTCCCGGTGCTTGTGGCCAACCCACCCAATGCAAGTACACCTACAAGAAGACCGTCTGCCTGCCCACTCTCCCTCAGCTCCAGCCAGCATTGGATGGAAGCGCAGTGTAGATGAGCTGGAGGGGCCACAGAACAACCTAAGAAGAGAGAAGGGCCCCTCTCATGGGATCGGAAGGCAGGCTTTGAGCAGGATGCAGGACCCCCATCTTCTTCAGCAGTTGGCTTTCTTGGCTCTAACAACTGGGATCAAAATCAAAGAAGACTCTATGTGCTACTTTTCCTTTGTATTTCAATTTAAAGGGAGAAAAGCGTTTTTTAAAATGTACTGTGGGAGGACAAAAATGCATTGTTAAATATACTGAGTTTGATCTCTTTTGATATTTTTTCTACATTCTGTATACATTTTGTTTCCTGTGCTGAGCATGTCTGAAAGCAAAAAAAAAATCATTGTTATGTGTACACTTATTAGATAAGGAGAAAACCAGGTGTTTAGGCAAAGCAAACAATTAAATATTTAAATATTAACCAAAGCTCTTTGAAGTAGTGTAAATATTGGCATTTTACTGCCTTCAGGAGTGTTAGTTTTCCACACTCTGCAACCTGAAAGCAAGTTCTTGTTACCTGATATTTATGGATGGACGTTAATACTGCAAGAATAACACGTTCCCTAGGAACGAGACGAGGGAAGAAAAGCCAGAGTCATTTTTCTTCTTCTTTTCCTTATTTATCTTTGCCCATTTTGTGGTGAAAGGACTTTTTGTCTGGTTCATAGTAGACGACCGCCGGAGTGTCTGTCTGTGTGTTTTGCCTGATGCTTAAGGACAGGGAGAGGAAATGGCGAGAATCAGGCTCCTTTCGTCTGCCATAGTGATGGATGTGTTTGATTCCAGGAATATCCAAGACAGATCCCTTCTCAAAGTATACAACAAGGATCCTTCACATGCCTTTAACCACATGGCCAAAGCTGTGAACGGAGACATGAGGGTGAGTACTTCCGTTCCAGTTCTGACCGTATTCCGCTCACTCTCCCTTCTTCTCCCATCCCACTACCACCCCACTGCCACATTTCCCGGGACCACGTGACTTGTCTCGTTGGTGACTCATTATTTGGTCATTGGTAAAACAGTAAGATTTCCTGGTTATCTGGCGCAAAGGGAGTGGAATGGGGCTGGTTCTAACTTCATTCCCTTAGCCTGGATCTCAGTTCTCAGTTTTACTCATTCACTTATTTATTTTAGTGGTGCTCAGGGTGGAATGCAGGGTCTCTCAAATGCTCGCAAGTGCCCTTTCACTGGGCTATTCTGTATCCTCAACCCCAAGCATAGAGTTTAGATAAATCTGTACTCCGAAGATCTCAAAGGTATCTTGACTGCCTTCCAACTCAGTAGCCTTGGTCCGTAATGCATTAGCTTAGCTGGAGAATCTGCTGCAATGGTTTCACTCAGTAAAAACAAACAAACAAAATGTGCGAGTTGTGTGGAAAAGCAATTCTTGTTCTCACCACAGCCTTTCAGGTCCCAACATCCTCATGCAGCTGCTCACCTGCTAACACAGGGCTGTTTGCTCTTAATAGTAAGTATCACCGAATCTTCTCGGGACCATGTTCAGGGCAGAATATCTACATGATTTGGAAGCTGAGATCTCTAGATTTAGGCCATCTTGGGAGATTACCTCAGTATTTCTAATACCCAGGGATGTTTGGAAGGAAAAAAATACAGGAAAACGATATATGAGAAGAGTCTGAGAATCACATTAATGCAAGTCCACTGGGAAGAGCTGTGTCTAGCTTAAACAAAGGTGGGGAGTAAAAAAGTCAATTTCTCAAAGTGCACCCCTTCCCCAACACATATACAGTGTGTACAAGGACACTGGAGTTCAACTTAAAAAAAAAAATACTTCTTAATGTTAACAAAACTAGACATTATTTCCTACAGGACTTTCAGTGAAAGGGTGGCACTTGACTTCCTCACATTGTGCATGTGTTTCTTCTTGCTGCTATAACAAATGATGGCAAATTTAGTGAATTAAAACATGGATTTACAGCCTTATGTATCTAGAGAGTCTTACCGGTCTAAATAAGGACTGGCCAGTCAGGCCAAATTCTTTTCTAAATGGTCAGTGTGTGTGTGTGTGTGTGTGTGTGTGTGTGTGTGTGTGTGTGTGTGTGTGTGTGTGTCCTATTTTCTGGAAGTTACCTATATTGATTTGCAATCCTATTTTCAATCCCAATAAAATGACATCCCTCTGGCCCTGCTTTTATTGTCAAATCTCCCATCTTCTATTGTCCTCTTTTAAAGACACTTGAAATTACTGTGGATCTACTAATAGTCTGCGAAATCCCCCTGCTTTCAGGGAAGCTAATAGCAGCCTTCGTGTCCCTTTCCCTTATAACCTAACATCACATGTGCAGGGCATTAGGATGCAGAATCTATGGGGGGACCACAGCTCTATCTTCCACATGGGGTATGTGGATTTAAAACCAAGAAAGGGGTCAGGAGAGCCAGCTGAGGGCTCTTGAAGAATTTCCATGAAATTCTGAATTGTAATGTGAGTCAAGTCACAGTGGGACCAGAGCCCGCCGTTTTGAAGGCAAAGACCTATTATGTCCTCAACTGCTTTTTTTTTTTTCCTGTTTCTTTTATTTCGTGTGTAAAATACTATGTGATTCAAACTAAAAGGCTGCAGTGCTATTTCAGAAAAGTCCAGAATTTTGAGATTTGTTCTTGGTCAGTTATACTTTAAATGCAAGCTGGAGCCGTATGGAGACAATGGGCCGTGCCATTAATGGAGCCTAAGTGGACATTATGAGACCCTGGCTTGTATGACTGACTCTGCTGTGCTCTGCCTGGGGAAATGCTAAACGTCTTTAGTTTGGATGTGCCCAGCCTTCCTTCCACGTGAAGCTTTCTGTGTCCTCTTTCTGTTACACAGAGCCCTTCCTCAGACAGGCGCCCCACAGTTGTTTCTGGGAGCCCTGTGTGTGGCTAAGGAAGACACCTGTTTTAACTCTTAAGCAGATGTGGCGCCTACACAGGACCTGCGGCAGGGGACCAGGAACATCAAATATTAACCACATACGTGTAACCCATTAAGATGCGGAGGCTTTGCTCTGGACTCCAAGCAAAGCCTTTCAGCTTTTGCTTGTGGGTAAAACATGAGCGATTCCTTTCTGGATTGTTCACAGCCCACTTCAGATAACAGTGTGTGTGTGTGTGTGTGTGTGTGTGTGTGTGTGTGTGTGTGTGTGTGTGTG